GCAGGAGGCATAGCCCTGAAACAACAGAACAATAGAGAAAAGATTGTTTGCTTTTTCAGGGCTGGGTTGTCCATTTGCTATGGTTTTGTTTAGGCTTTGCACAGTTTGCACAGCAATCCTTTTATCATCTGCCAGTGTATGCTGTCCTTTCTGTTTGTGCAACTGGACCTAATTCTGGACTCTAGGCATGGGCTGCACCAGGACCTGGGTTTGAGTGTTTATGTGCTACCACTGCATTTTTATGTTCAGTTTCATTTGCTGCCTTGCTTCCTTTCAGAAAAAGCTGATTAGCCAAGTCAGGCTGTCCTATGGGCTCTTTTTGCTGCCAGTTGGATCAACTTGATGTATCAAGTGGTCCCATGTCGGAGTTTAGATTACTATAAAAATTCTGGCTTTAGGTAGAATGTTCTGCTGTTAAGCCAGGAAGAATAGCCTCTTTCTTCTCTTGCTTTTAAAGTTTTACTACAGATCTTTGATCTGTTTTCTTTTTTTTCCCCCCTTATTTAGGGAATATTGTAGACTATTCAGAGCAGAATATCCATCATGGGATTGATCCTGATGATCTTTTTCCCTTTCAGGTGTCCTTCAAACTAATTTGGACAAAAATAAACACAAGAATTTTCTGTCCTGAGTGCCTCAGACGTTATTGGTCACTAACTGCCACAAATGGGTGCTTTGTCATTTGGCTTCTTCAAGTGAGGAGGATAAAAAATGAGTGCTGTCTGCTGAAAACACTCTAAATAGCTTAATAGCCATTATCCTAGGCAGTACATTTTACTCTCCATTTTGTCTTGATTCCAAAACATGACTTTATCTTTCCCATTTGTCGAATACTTTTCCAGATTTGCAGTCTCAAGAAATGAAGGTGCCTTCCTGTACCCAGAATAACTCCCACAAATCTGTCTGAAAAAGTGTTTTAGAAATCACCACTATAAATCATTAAATACTTGTGCTAGGGGGATGTACATCACCACCTATGAAGTGAATGATGTTTCTTTTTAGTGTCTGGTCTGAACAGATAAGAATATATTGGTGCTGTGATGATGAAGTGAAGTTATGATCTTTAATTACTATTATTTTGTACTGTGATATGTGAAAATATGACCTGTTCCTATGGAAGGTGAATGCATAATATTCTACTGTGGTAGAAAGTAGTTAATTCCAGATCAAGAAACTTTCTCAGAATTTTACATGGCATGGGTGCCAATATGTGCAGTGGGTGTATGCTCATAGCTTTGAGGCTAAAAGTATCTTATGGACATTAATTGTGGAATTGTGAAGAGTACACAGTAACAAATAAGGGAGGAAAAATTAGTTGTAATTCACCTTTCTCTGAGATTGGAAACCGCTCCTTTTATTTTTCATAAATATCTGGAAGTGAGCATGTTAGTGAACAAGTTCTAGTTGTGGAAATATTTATTACAATCTAGGGATATTAATTACTTCATTTTTTAAATTTAGAAGTTAGCCCCCAAGGCTTGACTTTGAACTCACATTTTGAAAACTAGAACATAAAAACTGTATTCCTAATTTAAGGCACTTTGTAAAATATGCTAGTGTTCAAATAAGAAGACAGTTACTGCCTTGAAAGAAGACTGCACAATTCAGTTTTCTCTCTGAAGCACTTCAAATTTACAGGAATTAAAGCTGCAGTTCACAGATAGCAACTACTTTTGAAAGATTGGGTGCCTTGGAAGCTATCTTAAGCAAGAATTTCTCATTTTAAGCCATATTAACCAGTTTCTGACACAATGCTTAATTTCTGTGCTACTTCATCAGGTCCTGTAGAGGGAGTTTGTGTGATTTTTCATCCTAAGTTCATTAACCTACTACTTACCCTAGGCTGGCACCAAATAGCAATGGCTCCATGTTAGTTGAAACTGTAAAATGGGTTGGCTCACAGATGCACCTGCATAAGCAGCTGTATACATACACATTTTATCAGATGCCCAAGTGTTGACGCTCTGTTTAAACACTTGGGGTCATCCAAATCATCTAGGATCTCATATAGACTATGGAGTAATTTTTATGGACTCATTCCAACAACACACTTTTTCTCTCTATTCAGAAGTAATGTTGTAGCTTACATGGCTCTCTGAAGAGAATTTGAGTTGGCAGAAACAAAACATCCTTGAGAGAAAGCTAGCATCAAAACATAAAATTATGTTTTATGTAGTTGTATTGTCTGAGTCTGTAGCTAGTATCAGCTCTGAAAAGGCAGTCTGTACAAGCTGGGTTATATAAATATTTTGTTGGGAGGTGCACTAATTTACGTACAAAATGAACGAAGTGATTGAGTGCCTGAACCTTAAGCATAGAAAAATGCCTTAAAATGGCACTACATGCTGGAACAACAGAGGCAGCAGCAGCAGACTGCTCTGTGTACATTATTTACACCAATCTATTGGCGCGTTTATCATCTGCATGCCATTAGAGGACTGAATGATTGCTTTACTGTATGACCAGATGTTATATTTGAAGACCATTAATCAAATTTCCTAAGGCAAAAGAAACATTAGGCAATTAATTAAGTTATAATACCGGTCTTGTAAGAGGCTTCTGACTATACTAATTAATCAAGTCAAGTTAGAAGGTTTTGTTCAAGGAGCTCTGAACCGCTCTCTGATAGCCTTCGGAGAAAAGAGCTCTGAATTTCGCAGAGATGTAAACTATTTGAAATGCATTCATCTTGCATTCCTGTCTACTGCTGTGATGGATTTGATCTTATAAAGGCATGATGAAGTCAAGATGTTTTCTTGAAGGGCTGCTCTAATGAGCCTCAGAAGGAAGATCTTCCTGGTGAGGTGGAGGAAAATTGTTTGAATTTTGAAGATTAAGCCACACTGCCATTTTGGTTGTTCGTTTTGGGAGAATGTGGAGAGACTACACTGTTAGGAAGAGCTCTCTTCTATTTTTTAATGCAACAATGTTCATGGCTGCAAGAGAGCCTATGGGAGCTTATCTGTATATTTTGCCATGAGTCACTGTCAATAATGAACAGCACCAAATTTCGTCTTAGCTGAAGATCCTCAGTGCTGTAGGAGCATACTACATATTTTTCTCATGATACCAACCTCCACCTCATGCTGAAAATAAAAAGAACAACTTTGTTACCATTTTATTTATTTGAAAGCATTTGAAATCAGCTCTACATGTAACTATCATTCTTCTGTATGTGGTCTGAAGGACCTGGGTAGATGTTTAAGAAACTTGCTATGATCAGTTATAAAGGAAATAACAAAAACTTGAAAATAGAAGATCAGATGATTTGAAGACTGTTTAAGAGAAGTAACCATTAGATGTGAAAATAAGTAAGAAAAGATCTATTTTGACACCTTGTAAGCTATAGCAGTCACGAGAATTCGTCTGAAAAAGTTACAACTATTTCATTAACTTTTAGTACACAAAGAAGTGTATTTGTTTCCTAGGTCACCGGTGCACATTTTGACTGACTGCTGGCCTGACTGGAAAAGCATATAAGTATTTTCTGGCACATACCAGAGGATAGGCCTTTATAGGAGATAGAAAAAAAGTTCATTAATCAGTAAGACCTACAGGCTCTTGAAAATAGAGAGCCTGTAGATGTGAAAAATTAAGGAGCAAAAAGTTCGAATGCTGTGGAAGATCACTGACACCTCAAGTGACAAAATGTGGTTTTGACAGACTGAGTCAGAGAAGAGATCAAGAACTGTGTTCTGTGGGTTTTGTGTGGTGAATTGTGGCTGCAAACTAAAATGGTATCTGTGAACTCAGTCAAGTTAAACAAATACTAATCGGAACTAAAGGGCAAATTCTGGCTCTCATATAATTTTTCCAAAAAAGACAGTCTTAAAAATAAAATATCATATGATGGTTAGGGGCAAGATTCTGAAATAAAAGAACATGACAGAAGCTAACTTTACTATTGGCTTGGGAAAGCTGTAAGACATATGTTTCCATAGAGGCAAAAATGATGGGTTAGTGTAAGTGCTGCGTGGGCCTATCTTTCCTTATTGCCTAGAATAGAGTTCCTTGGCAATGCATTGAACAGGCAGGTGCCAATCTCATGAAATCATCTAATCAACCAATAAATGAGGCAGGGAAGGTATCACTGTAACTGATTATATATGGAAAAACAAATCACATATATATACATGTATGTGGGGGGAAAAAAAAGCTCATATAAGTGTTGAAAAACTTTGTAATGTTTTTACTTGGTTTTTTTGAGTACACATTAAGGTGAAAGGGGGATTTTTGGTGTTTACTATGTACTACAAGATTAAGATATTAGGCAAAAGGTTAAATAGTATTTGGAAAAAACTCAGATGTATCACTTAGTACCAACAATATATCATCCATATCCCTGTCTGATGGAAGCGTGAGATTATTCTTAGCATTTTCAAATTTCAGGTTTGTCTCTCATGAGTCCTTGTGGGGTCTGTCTTCTCTTACGAATCTTCTAAGTATTTCTAAATGTGAGCTTCCAGAGAATGAAATAAACTGAGAGAAGAGACAGTGTCACCTGGGTTCTAGTGTCATAGATTTATTTCATCGTTCTTAATTTTCTTCTCAAGGCGGATGGCAGGATGGTGTTGTGCTAAAGGGAGATCCTAGGTAGCATAGTAAACTTGTTTATTAAGTAATATTCCAGCTTCCATGGGGGAAGTTGTGTGTGTCACATTAATTTATGCGTAGGGAATTTTACTTAGATAAAAAACAGGAATTAAATCAGTTTTGATATAGGACTTATATTTCAGATACCAATATTTACGAAAAAGCTCAAACAGCAACATTGCTATAGCAGAGTTTTTAGTTTATATAGTTAGAATAGGAGAAAGCAAGCCCTTTTTACACAGAACTAGTACTGCTTATTCTGTCTAGTATTTAGCAATTGTAGATTTTCTAGACTCACTCAACTTTCTTATAAGTCATATCTTTGATGAACTAAGTATGAGACTGACAGTGAACAGGCCTGATCACTTCGGTTGCCATTAATGTTGTGTCTTTGTTTGGGCATCTAGGTCTGCAGTATTTCAAACTTAGAAACATGCTACTGCTGCATTTGAGGAAGCATATCACTCAAAACATGCAAGTCTGAAATGAGAGAGGATTGCACCAGAATATTACTGGTAAGGAAATTTCTTTCATAGCTTGTTAAAACTGTCTATTATACAGTTTACTCCAATTAATTTTTTATATGTTGATTTTCTTAAAGATTGTGCACAATACATTTGTGTTATGAAACTGAATGAAAGATAAAATGTAGCGTATGAAGAAAAAGCATTCATTATTTCACAGTGAGTTATTTATTTTCATAATTTTGAACTAATCTTTCCTCCACTGAAATATGTGATGTACTCTGGAATGGAATATTGGTCAGGCTACATGGGCAGTGTTGACATATGCATAAAACAGTTTTAATTTTATTCTACAGAAAAGCATACATTATTTTCTAACATCCATGATCCAGTACTTTTTGCTGAAGCACAGACTCCAAATATTGTTGTTTCTTTGAAGCCCTCAGGAGCAATTTATTGTTCTTTTTGTTTATATGTTTCTGGGGAGCTGATGAGGGTGAAGTGAAGAGAGTACAGGGAAAATAAAATCTTCAATTCACATGACTGGGACCAAAGTATCAGGCTTTCTCATACTGTTTCTGTATTAAAACTGTTATATCATATTGATCCTGTTAGTTTCTACTTCTTCTCTGATGCTGTATTTATAGAACATACTTGACTTCATTACTCCATGTTCCAGTTGAATTTGTTTATTTTACTGTAAGCAGTAAGCTTGTTCACATATCCTAGAAATATGAGATGCTAGTGCATTTCAAATCTGTATGAGTGGTTACTTGAAATCAACAATCATAATACAGGTAAACATTTCTATCCAACACATGCAGATATATACCTGAGCTTCACTGAATTAATAAAGATGGGTCATGTCAATACATACATGCTTCATTCAGTGTTTGGAACTTACAGACTTAGACACATCCATTCTTTATCCATTTACCAAAAGATGCAAGTTGAAGTGTGTACATAATAAGCTTTCTAATGCCATGTCTATCTGTGGGTCTGTGATTACCTACCTGTGGGTAGATGATTACCTATTAAGTCATGACTCAATTTCAAGCCAGTTTTCACTTTTCTTCATTTCTTGCTTTCCACGAAAAAGGAATACTTAAAGATTAGAAGTCACCTGAGGCTCTGGTCAGCCTATGTAATGAATTGCATCAGGGATCATGTCTATCTTGTGGCTGTATGGAGTAAGGCCACTCAAGTGTTCAACTATAAGAGTATGTAATCAACTTACTAATACAGAATTAGCTGCGTAGCTACTTTTGTGGAAATTTGGACTTTTGAGGAAAATGCCTTCAGAAAAGCCTAAATAAATACATGGTTAGATAATAAGTAATTCCAGTGGGGACGTTTTTTTCAGAATATAAGCTTATGATTTTCAGCACAGTCATCAGAGGTTCTTATGTAATTAAAGATTGGAATAATCATGCCAAAATGAATCTACTGCTATTTACTAATCTTCCTTCAGTATCTTCCATTATTCTGCAGGTGTTTACATAAGACTCTTCTCAGAGCCCTTACTTCAGTATGAATTGTAATTAAATTTAGATATGTGAAATTGCTTTGCTTTAATTTTCTTCAATGACATCATTTACACAATTTATTATTTGTTTCTTCTTAACTTGCATCTCTTCTCCATTTTGCTACAGATGAAATTATTTAGTGCAGTAACTGATATAGAAGCTGAACTTTACTGGATATCATGCATGCAAAGACAACTGTGATAGTTAACACTGTGCTTGAAGTTTGAAATGTGAATGGCATAAGGCCCAAGTTCACTTTATACACAAGTCACATTGGTTCATTTCCATGTTTAGCAAGTCAGCTAATAGATCTCAAATATTTTCCTTTCTCATGAGGTGTCAGATTTGTACAATATGTAGTGTTCATATCTTTTTCAGTAGGAGGAAGCATGGTGCAAGAGACTGTAGAAATCCCAGCTCACGCATTGGCTTTCTCATGATTTTGGCATATAATTTTGTTTTGATCTCTCATTATCTTTCACAGAAATCTGTGCGTATCGCAGATATTATAACAAGAAAAACATGGAAATAGATCTCTACAGGGAAAAACGTGCTTTGCTACAGTAGATCTCTTTATAGTTTTTATCTGGTGTAAACTATGCAGGTTATTTTAGAGTAAATGACATCTTGCTTGTTTTAATCTGTTTCTCAGTCACCTGGCCTTTTAAAAGCACTTTTAGGTGCTTTTTTCAGCTTTTGTCTGATTTCAAATGTAGCAGCTGAGATTCCATGGGCTTTTTTTTCATTTGGGCAAGCAGAAATCCCCCTTATTCAGTGCCTATGCAGCACTGAAGTTTGACTCCAAATTCAGCACCCATAAACACTGTGTGTTCTTATGAGGCAGAGGACAAGAAATTTTCTAAGGTGAGGAAAATTTGAAGTCATTCATGATATTCTGTCATTGGAGAAAAAAGTAGTGCCAACAGCCTATAACTTATCATAAAACTAGAAACAACCTTTGAATAATTGATCTCATTAAATAGAGGCTTGTCATTATGGTAACATCATCCTAGTTGATGCAGAAAACCAAACAAGGTCGTAAAACAGCAATTATGAGACTCTGGAGTGTGTGAGTTGGGTAAGAAAGTAGTCTTTTGGGAAGTGATTGTTGGCAGGTTTCCCAGGGAACTGCTATTCCAGAGATGCTTGATTTCCCCTAAACCTCTTGCGGTCCACGAAGCCCAGTAATTGTCTGTTTTACTGAATGAACACTCAGTAAGATTCATTCATCAAATCCGTACTGAGTTAGGAGATTCCTTTCTAAAACTGTTACATTCAGGGACTGACTTTATCCTTAGGGATTTGGTTATGATAGTGAAACCTTTAAATGTTCAGAAGTTTTGAATGATGTGATCATATTATGTAGTACACAATATATGCAAAAACGTGGCAGATTTTGAAGTCGGTGCTTTTGAAGAGCCCATCAGAGAGAAAAGCATGCAAGAGATGGAAGATAAGGGCTATTGTTAGTATGGAAAAACTACTTTGCTGTTCTATGGACTTTTGTTATGTTCCAATTTATCACACTTACTGAGAGATCATTAATTATAATTAAAAAAACTGCAAGCTTTTAACTGTGTGGATTATTTGGGTATTTATGAGGGCAAAATTAAATCACTTCTTTTCTGTTCCTTAGCTCGTTAACTTTCTTGTGTTCTATCTTCAGTTTCAAATCACAAAAAATTTGGAAGTTGCTGTATTGCTGTAAGTTACAGGTGGATTACCAGTTGCTTTGCTAAAATGCTGCCTGTCAGGCACATAAATTTCTCTGCTAATTTTGTGCAGAAATATTAATTCATGTAGGAAAAGAAAGAATAGTGACCAGAGTTCTGGCGTGAGAGTAAAGAATGTTGCCACTGATCTCTTGTGGGACTTGGACAAATCTACGATTCTCGAATTTGGCTACATATACAGAATAGCAATATTTGAACAACTTATTGTCTTGCAGTCCTAAAGGTCTTATATAGACATAAACACATTTTTTTTTCTTTATCTATTAAAATATACTACATTTAAGCCTTGCCTTGTTATAGTTTTTAATCTGGTCATCTGTATAGAACTGCTGTGTGTGTAATGAAGTCAACGTGTATTTCACTGCACAACCTTCCACAGGAGAAGAAAATCTATGTGTGTAGGTTAGAGTAAGTTGAATAGTGTTGCTTTAGTCCTTTAATGAGCTGTTTTATTTACTGTTGCAAGCAGCTTTTGAAGGAACAGATACAAGGGTTGTGTGGCAGTTTGGAGATCTCACAGGTGCTTTTTGAAAACTTGGAAGTTAACCAGCGTTTCATAAAGCTCAGTGCATCAGTGTTAATGCTGAGATATCCAAGTGTACAGCTGGAACCCCTTCTGCCCTCATTATCAGGATCCTAGGTAGCCAAATTTAAGAAGCAGGAGTAACTCCTTATTCCTTATGGGAGTGAACAGCAGCATTCACAGGTTTCTCAGAGGGATAACATTTATCTAAACATTTTTCTGCCTTCCAGCTAACAAATCTGTGTTTCAGAAGTTTTAACACAAGTTTACCTCACCTTTAGGACATTCTTAAACTAACAAATTCAAGGCTCAAGACTACTACTAGTCATCACACATAGCTTCATCCTCTGTTTAACCTCATTCAAAATACATGATAATTTGTAGTAACAAAATCAATAGTTATTTTGATGATCTTAGATGATCAATGCTTACTCATTGTTAAAATGTTCTGCATTAAAACTTCTAAAACTTCATGTAAGACAACTTGTTCATGTGCAAATGTTATTGCTTGTTAACAAAAATGTTTGGATTTTAACTTTCTTATATGGTTATAGAATACCTGGTTTTATATGTAAACTATCAGGAGTTTTTCCTATGAGAAAACGTTCATTCCAAGAGCATAAAGATGTCAGTTCTATCAAATTAAATAGTGTGGGGAACACCAATGGGTATTGAACCTTTGTTGTCTGTATTGTCATAGTTTAAAAAAAGGCCTTTTGCTCCATTTTAGTCTGAGCTCACTGCCCGTACCGAGGCATGGTTTAAAGCCAGCATTGTCTGTGGAATTTCTGCAGTCAGCTGTTAAAATGTGGCCTGTTTTGGAGAGGAACACAGATAAGAGTGTGAGTGTGAACCATTCCATGTCAGCTAAGATACAGTAAGCCAATGCAGTATCTCTCTTATCAGTTTTTAAAATTCAGTTACTCATTATTTATTAAACAAAAAACAAAAACCGAAAACCAAACAAAAATAAGAGGCATTTACTGAAATGACTCAAGAAAAACTTTATTTGAATGTGTTTGAAAAAAGTTTTTGCCATTTTAGATTTTTCAAAATGCTGAGTACCCTCAGCTCTCCCAGTAGTCAGGTGGGGTTGGTATGCACAGCCCCCAGTTGAAGAGCTCTGTTTTGAGACGCGTGGCTGTAATAGATGCATGGAAGTATTGACCTAGACAAGAACAGATACACAGACATGACATGAAAATCAGTGGAACCATGCCAAAGGCGCTTAGGTAAAACAAGGGTACA